GATGAATCAAACCCAGAGTCAACTCTGGGTTCTGTCCATGAACCCAGAGTCAACTCTGGGTTCGATTCATTGGGGTTTTTGAGGTTTCTTCGATATTGCCTACTAAAAATGTTGATTAAATTTTCTTTCACATTTCACGCAATTGCTCATATTTTTTATATGATACATATGATTCATTAAGGAATCTACTCCGTGTAGTCTTCTTTGAGATAATTTGTTTCAATACAAAAAATCGATTTTCAATGGGAAAACATTTTTTTAAAATTATAGTGTTGTGTTTAAAAAAAAAAGTATTAAATAAATAAAATATTCAAAAAGAATATTCGAGAAAATCGAATGAATAAACCATTCGATTTCTCAACTGCAAACACGGCACCGTTCACGATAAAGGACAAAGTAAGCATTCTGCAGGGCATTGCCGTTCAAAAAGGTGGCGAAAGAACGCATATCAGCATCACGCCACCCAGGCAATGACCCCACATGTCGAAATATCGAGCTCGCCCTCCCAAAATGTCCAGAAAAACTAATCAGTCTTGTCCTAGCGCTAAAAGAGAGCACATCAGAGGGGCGAACTCCTCGCGATTATTAGGTACTTGGCTCGGAATCAGTGATAATTTCTGCCCGACGCTTATTTAGTAATTCGAGTATCGGAAGTTTATTTGATTGCAACTACGCACACCTTCGTAGCAATCACTTCCAGAAACGTTATTGTATTTCTCGATTTTCAAGCAAATTGAAGAACGTGTTGAGAGTATTCACATTCTAAACAACGCGCGAATTCGAGTTAACAAGTGAGAAAAAGACTCATTAACTGAACAAAATCATTGAAACAAGAATTTTGAATATAATTGTCCAGAGTGTACTAAAGCAAATAGTGTATCTCCAGGAACTTAATTGTGAGTAATTTAATCATATACTAATTTGGAAAAAGGGATCATTTTCATCTCTCTCGAATATTGTCAAGATTTAGAATCAAATTTATTGGATATAATTTTATAAGAATTGTAAGAAGAATTTGTATTTGTCAGAAGTACCCAATCGAGGTTATTAATGTCAACTTATCGGAAGATTGTAATGAGAGATTGTTTTGTGAATATTGGTATCTAATAAAAGGGGAAAAATCTATAAAATTCATTTGATTTTTCATTAAGACAAATTAACCTCAACCCTTTGCAGATTGATAGATGTGCCAAGCACTTTAAAGATAAGTATCCGACTAAACAAAAATAATTATTTTGTTTTCGGCACGAAAAATTGTATTATATTCTAATCCAATTTTTCCGAATCCAACAATAGAAGACATTTCAAAAAAGATTGGTCTTCATTATTTTTCCCCCCAGTGAACCGTTTGATTGATAAAAACTGATAAACAATGACGAACGAATTCATTTATCATTATTTATTCAACAATGAGTCGGGATGGAGGCAAATATCATAACGACTTAACTTTGTTAAAATGTCGGGCATATTCAGGAACAAAATTCTCCCTATGACAATTGATTTTTTTTTCCTTTTGTTTAAACAATACATGAAAAATCAATCCGGTGTACATGAAATAGGCATCTCCATTAAATATCCACGTATGATATGCAGAACCAATGTAACCACGGGAATTAAGAAAAAGAAATCAGTCAGCATTTTAAGTAGACAATACCGGAAAAACCTTAACAAATCATTTATTTATGAATTTTTATTGAATGGGCTCCCTTTTCATATTCGTAGTCCACGATACATACACGATTTACACGTCTAATAGACATTACCTATAAGAGGATGTACTTGTATGTTGTATTCTAATTCTAATCCGAAATGTGATTCGAAATTCGCGCCAATTTCCCAAGCAATGCCATCTGACAGTAACTTCCCGAAGCTCGTTCTCATTCGAGTTCGACTTCCAGAGAAATCGATTCGACTTTTCTCAATTCGAGTTCTCATTCGGCAGCCATTATGCTTTCCTTTTTATTAAAGGATAAAAGCTAGAAGCATACCAAACTTCAAGTCGCTATCTCCATTTTTTCTTAAGTTATCGTGCGCACAAGATTTCTAATGAAAAAATGAAAAAACGCCAATATCTCCAAACTTTGTATGAATCGGTATATATTATATGATTGATCTAGATAGAGAATATCGAGACGAGTATTTTGAAAAAAAAATTGAAATCGGTGCAGTTGTTGAGATATTGAGGAAAAACGAAATTTAAACAAGTTGTTATATCTTAGGAACTACTGGACCGATCGGGCTGAAACAACTCGGATCCCGTTCACCGTATTTATGTTGAATTTTCTAAAAATTAATCACCAAAAACCCAAATCTGCACATACATACATACAGACATGACCGTAAAAACATCATTTCTTCACGTTTCATAACATTCTAGACCATTTGCAATCATAATTAGAAAATCGAAAAATCGACCAAAAACAATGCTTCCATTCGGAAGCAAAAAGCGTGAAATGTGCAGTCCCGGAGTGCAAAACAGGTGAAACTGATGTGCCTGTGAAGAGAGCTTGTTTTAAAATACCACACAATATTGAGAGCAGGAGAGAATGGAAAAAATCCATCCGGAAATTGAAGAGAGGAACCAATTTAAGGATTTCCCATGTAATTTGCGAGACATTTTAGACACCACAGAGTTATCATTTCAAGTCACCACATTTCTCTTCTTTTCATGCATAATTTGAGCATTTATTAAATACCGCTGTTAGAATGAGGCATTAAAGAAAAGAGACACACAAAAGACAGCTCATATTATAATATGAGCTTTCTCTTCAATATCATTCTTAGTTTTTAGATTTTTGATTGTTTTCAGTCTCCGTTGTTCTTAAAAAATTGACATATATTAACACATGCGCAAGCGTGATTCTGAAACTCTGAAGGCGAAGCACGAATGTGTCCGCTAGTCACGTCGCGCCTCAAGCGGCAACTGCTGGTACTACGAAATCTGTCGCCGTCACTGAAATATACTATATACTGGAAAGGGCACTGAGCGGCCCGAAGCCACTGATCTCTATGTATATAACTGGATGGCTTGTTCCCTAAAGCGCTTCTGAAGCAAATTGTAAGGTATGATACAGGGAGGTATGGTGAAGCTTTGATGTCGCCGACACCGAAACAGGGGACAAGTTCCAATGGAAGCCGCGCGCGGCACTGTTGCGTCCCTTCCCCTCACGCGGATTAGATCTCCCACCACACGCCGATTTTACTTGCGTCGCGAGTTCAAATCCCCGTCAAATCAATTTTTTTTTTTTCATGAGAGAGAAATAGTATATTTCGTAACGAGTGCAAAAAAGTGGTTTTTGGCGAGTGGGAGGTTTATAACACGAGGCGAAGGTGAGTGACATAATTTCACGAGCCAAAAACCACTTTTTTCACGAGTTACGAACAAAATTTTTCATCACAACGTGTCGGAAAGTTACTTCTCCGATACAACGTGATGAAAATAAAATTTGGTGTTCAATCGAGAGGGACAGGATTAAAAAATGTTGAGATGAAAACTATATGATTCTCAGCAAATAGTTCCATGGGTCGAGCGATAAAGATTGACTGAGAGTCATGTCGACTAGACGATTGAAATACTAATTAGAAGGAAGAATAATTAACATTAGAAGTCCATTCAATTAATTATTCCTCTTCTCTTCAGTGAAGCTTAATAGGGAAGAATTGGGAGGGATGGGATTACGATAACGAGGTTCCCAGTTTGAACTATGTTTTTTAATGTTTTCTTCTATGAACAAGTTTTGAAAAAGATACGAGGGTCATAATGGTCACGAGGGGTGAAATAAATGAGATACAAGGGGGTTTCAAGAGCCACAAAAGAAAAAAAGTCCCAACTATTCACTTACGCACCTCACACAAATAACAATCGTTCTTTGACACTTGATCACTCGGTAGCAAATCACCGCTTTTTTCCAGCCATTGTCGTCGCTTCTCAATTTTTTTCACACTGGGAAGGGAGAAAAAACGATAATTATTCCTAGAAGATGCTTTGCAATTTATAATTGCACATGATTTAACCATTTTGCATGAATCAGCTCGCACAGACTGTTCAGATCTATTGGAGTACGTTTTGGAGCAGACATAAACAAACAACATTCGCGAGATATTTTTGGGCGAAAAATAAATATTGTTCAACATTGGACAAAAATGCATTTTCATTTTATTTTTAATACTATTACATTGAGCAGTGATTTGACTCTCAATCTTGGTAATTATTTTCAGTAAAAAAAGAAAGAATTCACCTATTATAAGATAAAAATCACCCCATTAATGAAAAAGTGAGTGGGCCATTGACTATTAAAGAAATAGTACATGAAAAACCATGAATATATTTGCATTTTTTTATTTTTCTTCGCATTGTACATGTAATTTCATACGGGGCTAACTATTTTGACTTAAAATATAAATTTCATAACGTTCCCTCCAGCAAAATAAGTGCCAGTGGCGGGAGACTAAAGGAGATGAGGGGAAGCGTAAGTCGACCGGAACGCCGCCTCTGGCGCTCCGGCGAACTTGTCCCCTGTTTTCTGGCTTCATTATACCTGCTTGTATCATACCTTAGCAAATTGGGTATTTGCATGAAAATGATTTTGCACATAAAATTAATTTAATCAATTCTTTGATATCCATAAAATACCTAAATAAGATTGAAATTTAATTTTAACAAATTATTTTTAAATAAATAAATAAATAAAAGTGGTATAAAAATCACGTGACGTGAAACGTGATGCGATTGGTCTGACGTCATTGTGCATATTTTAGCGCGTTATTTGAATGCATGATAAGTGACGGACGATAAATCGTTGGAAAAAATTTCAAGCTCGTTGTTATTTACAGTGAATTTTATTATATCCTATTATTAAGACTAAAATTCACTGAAAGTAGAAAAAAAATTGAAATAAATTTCATACTAATGTTTACTTCAAAAACTGACAAGAATATTAGCATAGAGGTTATGAACACACTCTATATCATTATACAACATGCTGAGTGGTACTAGTGATACATGTGCACGGTCAGTGAATAATAAATAATTAAAAAGAAATAAAAATGCCTCGAAGAAAAGTAGATCCTGGTTTCAGTGAAGCTCGATCAGATAATTTACCACGAGTTGATGCTTTTATGGTCGCATCCTACTTAGCTACAAACTCCGATTTTGTATCAGCAGAAATGCAAGGAGCAAAAGCTAACCTGTACGTATAAATTTTTCATAACACTGAATTTAGTCTTTATTTAATAATTTTTGGATTTTGTTATGAATAATAATTTAAAAAAAAATTATATAGAAAATTCCACCAGTCATTTCTTTGGTTTTCTTTTTTAAAGTGAGATTCTGAGATTGAAAAAAATCCAAAAAATTATAAATATCAGTTAATTTTTAATCTACAACAAGTATTAAAGTACATAAGTTGAAATATTAGATTAAAAATACTAGACGAAATATTAAAATAAATATATTGAAATGTAGATCTGGGAGAAAATCATATGGAGATGCTGCTATTGAATTCGTACAACTAAAACTTCATGGATCAGAATGTACTCTTAAATGTCTTATTTGTCCTGAGCACAGAGTACACAATAAATCATATCGAGTGACTCTCGTTTTAGACATTGTTGAGGAAGAGATTTTGTCTATCCAGTGTCATGATTGTGCCGCATCGTCAGGTAAATGTTATTGTTCAATACGAGAAACGAAAAAAAAAATCGATAAAAAATGAAAGACCTACAAATTAATTCTTTTTGTCTTCCTTAGGTGGATGCAAGCACTCGATCGCTTTCATAATGTGGTTACACAGGAGATCGGAAGAACCTTCACCGACAGATATTGAATGTTATTGGCGAAAATCAGTTCTATCTCAAGTTGGATCATCAATAAAATTTATTATGGTAAAAGATTTTGCCTCTAATAAAGAAGTTACTGCTGTGAATAAACCTTTTAATACATTAGAAGAATTTGTAAAAAAAACAAATCAAAAAACTGTACAGAGTCAAATTTTAAAATACTTCAATGATGTAAATAACGAGCAAAGTCTTTCGATCCATAATTTATTAGTAAATTTTATTAATAAAGCAGGAACATCTTATGAGGAATTTGTAACATTCAGTAAAAGTCGAATGTCGAAAGATTTGTGTGAACGTATTGAAAAAATCACTCAGGATCAAGCAAACTGTGAGCTCTGGTTTACATTGCGATACGGGCGAATTACTGCATCAAAAGCATATGAAGCATCACGTTGTAATACACCGGATGGAGTTCTAGTGGAGTTGCTAGTTGGTGGTAAAAAATTGCGGAGTACAAAAGCTATGGAACGAGGCAAAGAATTAGAAGCGATGGTTTTACAACAAGTTGAACAGAAGATGAAAAAACAGTTTAAAAAATGTGGTTTATTTTTATCTGAAAAATATCCTTATCTGGGAGCCTCGCCTGATGCTATTGAAGACGAATTTGTTATTGAAATTAAATGCCCAACGTCTGACAAAAGTGCTCGTACATATATTGATACTAATAATTATGATAAAGTATCCATGAAATATATAACGCAAATGCAAATGCAAATGCTTTTTGTNCTATGGAACGAGGCAAAGAATTAGAAGCGATGGTTTTACAACAAGTTGAACAGAAGATGAAAAAACAGTTTAAAAAATGTGGTTTATTTTTATCTGAAAAATATCCTTATCTGGGAGCCTCGCCTGATGCTATTGAAGACGAATTTGTTATTGAAATTAAATGCCCAACGTCTGACAAAAGTGCTCGTACATATATTGATACTAATAATTATGATAAAGTATCCATGAAATATATAGCGCAAATGCAAATGCAAATGCTTTTTGCCGGAAGAAGAAAAGCGATGTTTATTGTTGCAGACCCAAAATTTGAAGATATAAAAGCATTTAAATCTCTTATTATTAATTACGACTCACAATTGATCGATAAATTATTGGAGGATTTAAGTAAATTTTGGAAAAAATGTATTTTTAAACGTTTATTCAATTCTTTATACCAAACAGAAGTATAAAATAATGCAGATTGAAAACGTATTATTTTTACACACTTGTATGTATTGAATATTTGTTTATTAGCTTGTTTACAGTTAATAATAACATAATTTAAAAAAAAAATTATCTAATATTTTTAATTAATCCCTTATATGATTTATGTTTTTTTTATCAGCGGTCCTTGTAAATTTGTTAAAGCTGCGACGATCGTAATAATATTATCCATTTGAGGAATCAATTTAACATTAACACATGAATGAGGTTCACAAATATGAAATTCTCTTATTCTTCTTATCAATCTTTCAATGTGGATACTAATAAATGCACATTTTTTTGAAACTACTAAATTTTCAATATGTTTGAAACCTCTATCTGCTAATACAGCTGCACCTGGTTTCAAACAATCCAAGTATCCAGAGTTTGATACTATTTCTGCATCAGATGCTCTACCACCAAATCCTGGTGAAATGAAATTAACTATACCATCTGGAGTACAAGATACTAAATATTTCACAGTATTACATTTCTTGTATTCAGACCATGTCGATGATTGTTTTACTGGGTCTGTTGGTTTTTCAATTTCAATTTCCAAACAATCAATGATCGATTCTACTGCGGCATAGCGACTCCTAAAACTCATTGGCAATTGTTCTTTGATTTTTGCAGACGAAGGCCAAATAATCAAATCTTTCAAATACTCGGTTATGATTGGCAAAGTCTTTGTAAATGTACGACTTATATTAGAAGTAGACATCCCAAAATCATCAGCTAGAATAGCAAAACTTTCATTTAATCTTATTTTTTTTAACGTGAGAAAGATTTCAATGTCACTTAATTTACCAGTCCGTAAAATATCGATAATATCCATACAGTCGTCTGGAATACCGATATATTTGCGAGGCGATTGTTGAATTTTCTGAAGAGTTTATTTTAAATTTAACTTTTGCTATTCTTCTTGTTGATATTGACTTTTCCACTCATTTTCAGTACTGGGATTTGTCGACAAAACGTTATCTGAAGAATTTGGGAATGAACTTACTGTTGTGTTAGATGTGTTCATTATTTGATTATTACTAATTGATGAAGAACACGAGTTATCCAAATTTTTTATTCCAGAGAATATTTCAATGGGAGATGTTGCACGGTCTTTTGTTCGAGGTTGACACTGAACTTGTGTACTCCTATAAGAACTTCTTATCTTGACTTGAATTGCAGCATTAACTTTTGTAGTTTGAGGAGGAAAATTATCATAAGAAACATTAGATGCACTGGTATTTAAATCTTGAAATGGAGTAGAATTGACGATATCCATGTATTCCAAATCCATATTATCGATTGTATTGCTTGAATTTTTACCTATCGTTCCATCATTGATATTGAAGCCGGATTTCTCCGGACTTTGCTGATCTACTTCCATTGGTGAAGCTTCTACGTTTATGAGCTTTGATTCTTCAATGCATTTATGTGGCAGAATATCATTTTTCATCCGTTTGTAACCAACAATCATTGTCCACTCCAAATAATTCTCCATATCGGCTTCTAACTAGAATAAATAATATTCATAACTCATTTACACTGTCAAAATATCAATATAATTTGAGGTTATAATTTGATTAAAAACAGATTCTTTTTATTTTTCTTATTACTTACTTGAAAATGATCTTCACAACAATAAAGTCGACTTGATACAGAATAATCACTTTTATTCCCACATGCATCTAACCACATTTTTCGTTTTAATTTATTTGATGGAACATTTATAAAAATTTTATTTGGATTAGATTTACCAGTATTTTTACATGTTGGTACTATACACCAACAACCACTGCTTTTTAATGACATATTAAAAAATTATAAAGTTTATGTTTATGCTTTTAAAACTGTTTTTCTTCGAATGACAATCACAACTGCTGATCACACGTGTTTATGAAAGAGAGATTGGCGCCACCAATTTTGAATGGAATATGCACAATGACGTCATATACGCAAGGGGGAACTACCTGTTCGTTTGAATTATAGCTATTTTTTAATTATCAAATAGTTTAAATATTTATGAATAAAAACAAAAAAATTTTTTTCCAAAAATTATCAAAAATTTTAAAAAATAATAAAATATAACTATTTAATGGATTTGAAAAACATGCAAATACCCAATTGAAGGCTCACCCGGCGCCCCTATCACCAGCGGTGGTACTAAAATATACAACAATGCGCATGCGTGGGCATGATATACGAAGTGGGGGGTGGTAATATGACAGTCAGGATCCAGAAATGCCCTTGACATTTTACCCCCTTTATGCTCATAAAAAATGATGAATGGATGAAAAACAAAACTCGTCCAAATGGTATCCATCAGGGGGTTTTATTCCTATTCTATTTTTTTTTTCATTTCTTTATAGTGATATAGCCCAGATATTGGGTTATTTACACTGTCATATAGTCTTGATACATTTTGTTACATTGTCTTGTTGTAAGTTACTTACTCTACACCTGTAGTTTACAATCTTTTAGGAAGCTACAAATCTCTTTAATATATTTATAGTCTGATGCATCGGAAAATTTTCTAGTGTCGAAGGGCCTAAACCACCCTGATTTGTTCAGTCTATCAAGAAGTTCGGATTGTTGTTGTTCATAGTTAGAGCAGTGCCACAGTATATGATCAAATGTTTGACTTTCTGCTCCACAAGAGCAGGAGGGATCGTTGGTTATGCCAACTCTTTCCAGGGAGGCTGCAAGATGGTAATGATTTGCTCTTACACGATTGACAGTGACAATTGACTCCCTGAGGAGTTTACATTTTTTATACCAGGGCGTTGGAGAGTCCCTGTAATAGAGGTAAAAAAACTCCGCACCTTTTTTCTTATTATTTTTTTTGGTACCGATTGTCGATTCTTCTACAATTTTTTTGGACGTATCTCGGTGTTCATCGGATTTAAATTGAGCTCTAAAGTCAGTGAATAGAACGTTGTATTCATCGATCAAATCGCCTACCGCATCCCCAGCCAGCCTATCAACTTCCTCGTTACCCTCTATGCCACAGTGCGAGAGAAGGATTACTTTTGTTAGTTATTTTAATATGGGACATTCCATGTCAACTCAGCCATCCTGGAATTTTTTGGTTCTCAGAAACTTGAATTAGCATGATCCCAGTCTAGTACTATATGAGTACATACTTTCTCTAAATTTTCGCTCCTTTAACATTAATTGTTTGGCGAGGACAAATAACAAAAGCTCAAATTTTTGAAAAATCATGTCTTGCGAACAAATTGGCCAATTTTGATGAATAAAAAAAGATTTTTTTCGTTTTTTCATATACTTTTGGAATAAAAATACGACAGTACCACGAGGAAGAATAATGAGTCATTTTTTAAGTTTTTTGTTATTTAAATACTTCTGTTATGTAGGGGCCATTCGAAAATCGACTAATTTTTTTTTCTTCGATGGATAATGATATTACTCTACTTTTTCGGGATATTTCAAAATGGAATAGCCATATGGAGATGAGAGAAAATTTTTGTTCTCATGAAAAATTAGATTTTCCGAATTTTGTTCCTGAAAAATGATGAATGCCTCATGAAAGGATGAGCGTGCAATTTTTCGGCATAATTTGAAGATGAGATGCATAAGTATAAGTAGTGATAGATAAAAAACGTTTTTTATGGAAAAAAGTTGAATTTATTGATTATTAACAGCTCTACTTACGTAAACGACAATGAGAATTTGCAAAGTACCAAATATTTGATGAGTTTTTAGATCAACATGAAGTATATATCTGTTTTAAGTTTGTAATTTGAAAAATAAACATTAAATTATAGAGACAAAGCAATTTGAAATCGAACTTTTCTNATGCATAAGTAGTGATGGATAAAAAACGTTTTTTATAGAAAAAAGTTGAATTTATTGATTATTAACAGCTCTACTTACGTAAACGACAATGAGAATTTGCAAAGTACCAAATATTTGATGAGTTTTTAGATCAACATGAAGTATATATCTGTTTTAAGTTTGTAATTTGAAAAATAAACATTAAATTATAGAGACAAAGCAATTTGAAATCGAACTTTTCTGAATCACAATGGCTATCTTAATGTACGTCGTCCATTTCGTTTCTTCGCCTTTGGAAAAACTTCTCCCGTAGTCGCAGAAGAATATCTCTTGATCAATAGTTCCTTTTCTCCCACAGGAATGAAGTCGTGATTTTTTTGTATCGTTATNACTCGCTCCTGCCAATACACAGTGTTTCGGCCTCAATTCCGCAAACTTGCTGAATCCCACCGGAGACTTTGGATGCGCAATTTTATATTTCTTATGAAGATCATTCAAGTTCTCGAGGACCATCCGCTTCTGCATTATTTTCTTCACGTCGTTGATTCTGACTGACACTTTATTCTTCATCCGACTATTACTCTCATAAAAACTCCAGACCTTTTCAACTGTCTCTTTGGGCAATGATTTCCCAACCTTCGCAAGTGTAGAAGCAAATATTCCTCTCTGTTCTCGCAGTTGTTTTGCTCTCACAGCCATGTACCTTGTCGTACCAAATTCACGGCTCACATTTCGCTCACTCCGTGAAGGTGGAACAATAGTCAAGAGTT